AAAGCTTTCTCTTATTAGTATATTTTATTAAATGCAATGAAGTTTTTTAAAATAACATTATAAAACCTGTTGGTCCGGGTACCCGTTTTTTCAAATTTTAAGATCTGTTCGGTTCCTAAGCTTTTAAAGACCTGCCCGAACTGAACCGTTTGAGTTTTCTAAAACTAGGAACCAGCCCTAACCCGCTCTGAATTTGTATTACCCAGCTCGACCCACGGTTCCTGTACCCGTTTGCACAGGGGCGGATCTAGGATTGACATTTAGGTGGGGCCATTTTTTTTAAAAAGAAAATTATATGTCAAAGACGTAAACAAATATTATGAAAATAAGAAATTTTGTCAAACTGAAATACATAAAAACACTCAAGCCCAAAACATTGAACTAATTAATTCTTTAGGCTAATACTCAAAATCACAAAGCATGCCCATTTTATTAGAATGAAGCCCATTCAATGAATTTATGTTTGTAGTAATTGATCCTTGGAGATCCACTTTAAATAGATATGTACTCCGTATGAAGGAAAAGTAGTTCTCTTTGTCTGGTGTGGGATAAAGAGGTTTGAGGAGAAAAAAAACTGAAATTTTAAAACACAATTGCTCTCCATTGCAAAATTTGAAGGCATCTACCTCCCAATGAGATTCAAACTCGGGTTGCTCTAAATATCACCATGCTAACATGTTCGATGTACTTCCATCCCACCATCCCTCATTTTGCAAACAATTAGACATTTGTTATTATTATACATACTATTTTTGAACAATAGTATTCATTAGTGTATATATATAATTTTTTTTTTGAGGTGGGGCATAGGCCCTCCCTCACCTTAAGGTAGATTCGCCCCTGCGTTTGCGCACCCCTACTTGCAACCATGGATTCTTTTTTGAAAATCCCGGCGTAGGTTACCCAGCCCTAACCCCATTTGCCAAACTCAACACTGCAGAAATTTAGCAAGATTTGGTCCGCACTCGAGCACCTCAGCACCACACTCGTTCCACAATCTTTCTCCTTCAGCAAATGATTTTCAAACTTGAACCTATATTTATGATGACAACTCTCTTTTTGGCTAAATTTAAAAATAGAGCTAAATGATCACTACTATTGCCTGAATGTACGTAGCCCATGCATCGGGGCCGGTCCTGAGAGAATACGGACCCTGTGCAAAAAATAAAATGTGGGTCTTTTCCTAAAAATAGGTAAAAATATACGTAGTAATAATGTTATAAGATTAAATTAAAAATTAATGTATCATTATCTAAAATAGAATTCATAAATTTAAGATGTGTTTGATTGTTTAGAATTAAATGGATAAGTTGTTAAACAAATATTTATATAAAAAAATATAAATATAATTGATAGACGTAATGAATATTTCGTACATATCTAATAGTTTTTTAATTTAATAATGGCTTGAAATAAAAAAATAGTTATTATTATGATTACAAATTAATATGTAGTATATCAATAATTGTAGTTGATGGTATAAGGCTTAAGATCTTATGAGTTATATCAATAATTGTATAATATGTAGTATAAAAAAAGCAAATTCGAAAAATGTTAGCATCAACCAAGTAGTTGGTTTGGTTGAGCGTCCTCACGGCTATGCAATATGCCAGGGTTTGAAACCCCCTGTTGTTTAACTTTTTCAATGAAGCATTCAAATCTTACCTATTGGGCTTTACTTATGGATAATAATAGAAGGACTAGTGAAAATTTGGGCCCTCAAAATTCACGGGCCCTGTGCGGTCGCACTGGTTGCACACGCCCTGGGCCGGCCCTGCCATGCATCACCAAACAGTGTAAGCCATCCATTGTTAAAAAGTATACGATCGAGCTTCTCCTCAACCCTCTCGTCGCCTGTGCCGCTCTGGAAAACCATAAAATCTTGTGAGGCGCCACATAAATACATAGGGGTGTTTGAAACTGATTCTGATTCTGCTTCTTTTTTTAAGTGAGAATCAGAATCAGAATTTTCTGCTGTCTGAAAAGTGATTCTGTCTAGAGTGTTTGGTATTGATTCTGCTGTATGTAATAGAGAATCAGTTCAGAGTGTTTGGATAGCTTACTTTTAAAAAACTGTTTTTGGTTCAAATTTACCAAAAGGGCATATATATTAGACAATCCTTTGTTAACTTGTGTTAATATGCTTTTATTTTTTTAAATTATAAAAATGGTTAAACTAGTGGTACTGACTACATTAATAAAAATAATAATTAATGTTAGGTCCCTCAGACTGTGATATAAGCTAATGGTTTTAAGAAATAGTTTTGATGATGTCACCCTCCTTTTCGGTTTAGACTCTTTGCTCAGAATTTTCTAAATTATTGTGTAAATTGTAGTGTGCTTCACAATTTGATAGATTAGAGTACTCATCGTACCATAAACAAAGAAAAATCAGAATCTATTTGAGAAGGTACGAAAAAGAAAGAATACAAAAGGACAAGATTAAAAGTGTACAATTTTATGTCAAATTAAATATACTGGAAATATAAAATGCAATAAGGTAAAATTCTACCTTTCAAGGATATTCAAATCCAACCAGTATGTTTTCATTTGTTATAAAATTAATCTTGTCCCTAGTAAAATTGTGACCAATTTTACATGTACACTTTTTGTACCAAATAAATTGTAGTGGAAATATAAAAAGCAATAAGGTAATTTTTCTTTACCTTAAAATGATATTCAATTCTACCAGTACAAAATTATTTGATACAGAAAGACTAAAGTCACAAGTTTACTAACATTCACTGTATCTACAAAATCACGAGACACTACAACGCACAGAGTTGCATGCGAAGCCAAAATACACAAGTAGGTGAATAGTGCGTACAAGGCCGATGGTATGGGTTCACATATCCTACTTGCAAATTGATCCAATTGCGTCTGAAGAAGATAATCTGCTCCAACACAAGAAGACGAAAGTACAATTCTTTCAACGTCAAAGATGGAATCCTCTCAACCAACGGAGGAGATTAATCAACCGGAGATGCCTATAAATACAGGCATAAGCATGAGATGAAAACCAAGCTTTTGAGAATCTTCTAAGCAGAAATATTATACAGAGCATTCAAAAAGATATTCAGCAAAAGAGAAAGTGCTCGTTTAGATTAGCTTTCTGCTTAGACACATGCTTCTTTAAACTTCCAAGTTAGAACTCTCATTGCCAAATTCTGGAAGTTTAACTATTAGTTGGAGGCCATAAATTTCATTACTTTTGAAATTGTTGTAAACACTTGGAAGAACAGTGTCATCTAGTCCTAAGTGTGGTAGTTTAGAATTGAGTACCTTTTGATCCCCACTGGATCAATTGAGAAAATCTAAAGGATTGAGTAACTTGGAGTGGTGTGTACTCCTTGTGAACACCTTCAGGTCTGAGCTAGTTGGTTGATAACAGCCAGACGGGGACTAAGTGTATTGGGCTTAATACATTAGTGGAAATCCATCTGAAAGAGGATGGGACTGGATTACAGTTGGTGTAGGAGGATTACACCACCTCTGAACCAGGATATACTGTGTGTTGATTATTTCTTTTTAGTCAACAAAGCACACACCAAACACTTCTTAATCTTAGCAGAAACGTATATAGAAACCTCGGCAGCAGTCCACTGACAACCCTTCTGTTCACCTCTCTGTTAAGCTTACTGCCTGTCCAAATACTCTTCTAAAGTCATACAAATGCCCTAGAAGTATTCTTCACTCTTCATCAAAAACTCCCCTCTTAAACAGAAGTCTTTTAGTTACAAAAGTCCAACAGAAGACCTAGTGAGGAATTCTGTTCCAAGGTCAACAGAAGACCTCAGAAAGGGTTCTATCACAAAACTTCAGAACACCATTCCAATTGAGACCTTCTGTCCAAAACTTCTCTGTCACTAAAAGCTCCTCTGTCTTTCAGACTTCTCCTTGTCTACTTTCTAACAGAAGGTTATAACATATATAGAGATCAAGACTTCCGCTGCGATCCTTACTCTCCCAAAAGATTACTGATCATCATATCTATGAGGGAAATTCTTTAAAAGTTGAAAAAGCTTTAAGAGTCTATTCACCCCCCCTCTAGACTCTTACCTCTATCTGAGACCATCAATTAACGTCCTTAAAAGTCATTTAATAAGTTATCAACTACTTGTAAACAGTCATTTAACCAAACACTATTTTACAAATGGCTAATTCTATCAGCTAATCAAAACAGTCAACTGAATCTGTTGCCATCAATCAGCTAACATAATCGGCCAACAGCTAACAACCAACAACCTATTCCCAAACACCCCCAACCAAAGCCTACTCTTAGTACTTTTTCAATATTGGAAAATAAATTATATAAAAAGAAAAACAAATACAGTTGGAATACTTTTATCATACTTTTTGAGTTAAAATTTTAGGAAAAATTGACAAGAATAATCCAAACTATTAGTGATCTGCTTGAAATAATCCAAAATATCAGTTATCTCAAAATAATCTCGAAAAATCTTCTCAAAATACTTCACTCACTCATATAGTCATATATATTATATATTTGTTTTTATCCCGAAAGAAAACACCGCTTGGTGCGGTAAAGGTCGGACAACATTTACCAGATGTTATTAAAATATGAAGCCATTACAAGTCATATATATTATAAGTTATTTATGAATAATTATAAGTGACCAGACTATTTTGAGAAGATTTTTCAATAGCTGAAATTATTTTGAGATAATTGATACTTTGGATTATTTCAAGCAGATCACTAATAATTGGAATTATTCTTATCCATTCTTCCAAAAATTTATTGGTAAAAATATAATTGGTACTTTTCTTAAATAAAATATAATTGATACTTAATTCATTAACTTGCCTTAGTTCCATAATTTTACTCACAAGTTTATACCGTAACACTAAACACCTTGTTCAACCACATCACCGTAACATTCCCAAATAAGATGTTAGAAGGTTTGAAACTCGTGCAATTCAAAATGTTGTCATTTAATAGAGTACATAACAAAACAAATTTTGCTTTAAAAAAAAAAACAAAAAACAAAACAAATTTTGTATCAAGTGCCTATTAAAAGTTAAACACTGAAAATTCGCTCTCAGTCCATCATTTTTCACTCTTAACTTACGAGTGAATCTGCCCTTACGTCGATCTCCTACATACTGTGAATTAGGGTTTTACAGACTGGTATGCATAGAGTAAAGTTGAAATTTTTCCATTTAGAAATCATTATGACATTTAATGTTTCTGCAATATGCAATAGAAATTTAATCCTTTCTGTTTACCTACTTTGCGCGCTCCAAGTATAATGTTCATATATATATGCATTGTTTGCCAACCTTCTTGCAGCCTCTGTTTTTTTAATACCTGCGTGCTAATTTCAGATCTCGAGCAGTTTAAATTTGTGTCTGTTGCTTCTCAACTGATCTCCATATTCATAATCTTAATGTTTCTGGATGTGATCGATTCTGTCTGCAGAGTTCTTTAATTTAATTTATCTTCAATTTTTGTCTGTGATTTCAAAGGTAACTAGGTTATGGAAGCCAAAGATAGAATCAGTGAACTTCCTACTGATATATGCGACCATATTTTGGGACTGTTGCCTATTAATGAATCTGCAAGAATTTCTGTTTTGTCTACATTTTGGAGAGATGCTTGGTTAAGTCTTACTCACCTCAAGTTTGATGGAGACTTCTTCAATTATTTTAAGCATCATTACATGAGAGAGTCAACCATGTATGTGATCAACAAAATTCTCATGAGACACAAAGGACCCGTTCGAAGATTTGTCTTTCATTTTTCGAATTTCAGAAAACATAGTTATAGTTATGGAGCTATGGCTACGTCCCGCCGGTGGGCTGATTTTGATCGATTGTTGCTTCTCATCACAGGAAATGGGGTTGAAGAAATCGATCTATTTTTTCAGCCAAATAAATACATATTGCGAGATTGCATATTTTGTTGCTTAACTCTCAAGAAGTTGAGTCTTTTTGGAGTGTTTATTGAAAAAATAAACTTCCCTTGCATATTCCCTAATGTTACTTCTCTTTGTCTTGGAGATGTTGAATTTGATTCTAGAAATCTTTTAGATTATGATGCTGTTCTTCCTACGCTCGAGAGTCTCACATGTAGAACTAGCCCTGCTCTTAAGAGTCTTAACATTTCTGCTCCAAAACTCAGCAGTTTAAAGATTAATCCTTCTGCTCATGGTATTCGTGGTACTGTTGTTGATAGTATTCTTCCTCGTAATTTGGACATACGACATGTTCGCTCTCTTCATCTCGGTGGTCCTTTCCTCAAGGTACATATAATGAGAGTTATCTTCCGGTCATGTATATCTGACCAAAGCCGCCGTCCGGCCACCTCAATTCGAGGGGGTTCCCGGTGGAATTTTTTGAGAAAATTTCGTGAGTATCTTCTTCATCAATGGTATATCTCTACAACATTTCAGCTTAAAATTCAATCAGGAAGTCTGTTAAATAAATTATTGAAACTAACCGTGCCAAAATATATATAAAAACACAGTTATTTTCAATAATTTATTTAACTGACTTACCGATTGAATTTTAAAATGAACTTTTGTGAAACTAATCCAAACTTGATGAACATGCTCACAAAACTGATTCACTACCGGGAACCATCTCACATTGAGGTGGCCGGATGGCGGTCCTGTCAGGTATTACCTGACAGGAATATTTGTGTGTACATATACACACCTGATTTAGTTATTCTTTTGAATATCTTTTAAAAATTGATTCAGCATTCCTTTTGTATTTCTTCAAGACTTTTGTCAATGACTTAGATAGAATGGGACTACTGCAAACTGCACTAAATGTGGAGCACTTGGAGCTAACTGTGTCTTTCGAAAATGATGATATTTCCGCATTAGCTCTTTTGTTAAACATGTGCCCCAAACTAAGCAAACATTTGATACATTTGAAGGTAATCTTGACTTCAATCGATAATTTTTATTTGAAAGTATTTCTATCATTGTTATGCATTTCTTAATGCACATTGGTTGTGCAAATGTGGAACGGTGCCAATTTTTTTGAATTTTCATTTTGGATTCTACTAAAAGCTTTGTATTATGCAGAATTTGACTGTAGATAGGTTGTCTAAATTACCTGACGATAATGTTACTCTCAAGTGTGAAACGCTTCGTGAATTATACATTTTTTGCTCCTTTAGCGGGTCTGCGCTCGAACTGCTATCCTTCAAGTGGCTACTTAACTGCTTCCCAGCACTTGAAAAGTTATTCATCAATAATTCAAAATGCTTGCACCACAACAGAGATGCTAAAAATAAGCAGAAGCTTCTGCGCTATCTTCGTGCCTCTACAACTGCTGAAATTGTTTACGCTTGATTTATGCCATTGCCATTTCTGTTTTAGGTCTTGATGGATTATGCCATTGCTGTTTTATGATTTAAAAAAAGAAAGTGAAATGACATTCTAAATGTATTCATTCATCATTCTGAAGTTCCCAAATATGCATCTCTAACTGTTTTTTACTTTAAAGAATGGAGTGAATACTACTTCTACTATCCTAAACTTCTACTTATATACATTTCTAGAACTGTATATACGTATATTTTCTCCTACTGAAGTTGCTTTTCTCTGGACAAAAAACACTCCATAGACAAGATACACTCTACGTTACTTTTGTTACTTCGATTCAAATATAGGCATTAGTTGTCCTTTCTCGAGCAATGTGTGTATAATCAATTACATTCAAAGCTAAAAAGTGAAAAAAGAAACTGAAATGACATTCCAAATGTATTCATTCATCATTCTGAAGTTCCCAAATATGCATCTCTAACTGTTATTTACTTTAAAGAATGGAGAGAATACTAGTACATTTCTAGAACTGTACATAAGGACGTATATTTTCTCCTTCTAAGTTGCTTTTCTCTAGACAAAACAAAACACTCCATAGACAAGATACACTCTATGTTACTTTTGTCACTTGGATTCAAATATAGGCATTAGTTGTCCTGTCTCGAGCAAGGGCCGGCCCAGACACATCAAAGGCCATGTTCAAAATTGAATATGAGGCCTTGTAGTACAAACACAATATTAATACTCCCATCATTTTTGAATAATAACCTCCTTAGGGTTTTTATGGTTGTTAAGAAGAAAATAGTATGAGTAGTATAGAGAAAAATAATGAAAAAGTAGGGAAAAAATATATTCAGAAGATGAGTAAAATAATGATAAAGTATGAAAGAGAAAATAGTATGTAAGCTCGTCCCAAATTGTACGAGGGCTTCATGCTAATTACTGTAATTAGGCTTTATGTAATAAAGAAATTGCACAATTGTAATTAACAATTGCATTTTAATTGGCCATAAATATTACTATTAAATGTTTGTATTTCAAAAAATACTAAGATAGGAATCTTTAATCAAATAAATAAGGATTTTTTATACTATATCTAAAATTTTGGGCCTTCTGAATCGAGAAGCCTTGTGCGGTAGCCCTTCTTGCACGAGTTATTTCCCGGGGAGGGGTGTTTTTCAAACTTATTTCCCAAACTAGGGTATTTCTAAACTTATTTCCCAAAGTAGGGTATTTTTCGCCATGTCATCTCATTACCATCGCATGTCGCCACATCAGTTTATCCACATCATCCAAACAATTCCATGTCATCCAAAAGAATAAAAAATTGTTGGCACCAGGGTTCGAACTTGGGTGTGGCTCAAGGAGGAAGAGCCCCTGAACCACTACACTAATCCATTCTCTTGTGCAATTGATGTTTTGCCGATACTTAAACCGTATGTACTTCTTTCCCAAACAATTAAAAAATATAATAAAAACATAACTTGAGTTATTCAATTAAAAAATAAAAACCTAATTAAAATTTATAATAGAAAACATATTTCGTAATATTTAATTAGAAAATATTAATTTAAACTTATAATAAAAAACATATTTTGCAATAGTTAATAAGAAAATAAAAACTTAATTTACACTTATAATAAAAATTTGAACCGAGGTCCATTCGAAAATAATTGAGCTACTTCAAAAGATATTTGTTGAGAAAAATTGTATATGATATTTTTTTACATTAATATTTTACATTAGCATGAAATTTAATTATTTTTTATTTTACTTATTTTTGAGTTATGTCAAATCATTTCTTAATTACATACTTCAAATTAAGATTTTTATTATAAGTTTAAAATTTATATGGTCTTTTATATTATTAATATAATTTTTAAAAATTTGAAGTGGACTAGCATGTTTTGCTTATATTTTCTTGTATTTAATTTTAAAAAAAAATGTTTACATATTGCAAATTATGTTTTTTTATCATAATTTCAAATTAAGTTTTTATTTTCTAATTAAATATTACGAAATATGTTTTCTATTATAACTTTTAATTAGGTTTTTATTTTTTAATTGAATAACTCAAGTTAAGTTTTTATTATATTTTTTAATTGTTTGGGAAAGAAGTATATACAGTATAAGTATTTGACAAAACGTCAAATGCACAAGAGAACGGATCAGTGTAGTGGTTTAGGGGTTCTTCCTCCTTTAGCCACACCCAGGTTCGAACCCTGGTACCAATAATTTTTTATTCTTTTAGAAACACACTTCAATTCTTAAAGTTGGATGACATGGAATTTTTTGGATGATGTGGATAAACTGATGCGGCGACCTGCGATGGTAATGAGATGACATGGCGAAAAATACCCTACATTGGGAAATAAGTTTAGAAGTACCCTAGTTTGGGAAATAAGTTTCAAAAACACCCATCCCCGGGAAATAACTCCTTCTTGCACGCTCTCATATACGACCTTGTTTCAAAGTTCACAATGTAGTACTCCCTATTTTCAAGAAACTGAGATGATAAATTAAAAACAATTAAGGTGAGGAAATAAAAATATGGGATGAAAGTGCTCGTTAATTTTATTTTTTCAAACACGTACCTGGTGGTGGACTGGGCCGAGCTCCGGGTCCAAAATTATCTGGCCTTGTATCGACCCGGGTTTGTACCGGTACCGGGTCGGGCCGGGCTACCCAAGTATGCTTCGAGTATGGACTGGGTTGGGCGGTTGGGCCGGGCCCAACAATTTCAAGCCCATTTTTTTTGCAATTCTTGGCTTTTAGGCCCGGTCGGGTCGGTCATCTAAAATCAAAGCCCAGCAGTACCACTTGCTTCTTCATCTGGGTCGGGTCGCGGGCTTTGTCCTGTTCTCGGTCAACCGGGCCGGGTTGGGACTGCACAGTAGCGGGTCGGGTTGGGTCGCGGGTAAGGCGGATCCATCCCAGTTCACCCCTATAGGTACTTTATTACTTATTGTGCAAAATTAAAACAAAACACGTAGGACAAAGTTACTCCTTAATTCCAACTATAGTTATATGAAGTACTACATATCTTTTTATTTAAAATCAGACTAAAGGGTCAAATAGGTCTCTTTACAAGTCATATTTGATCAATTCAGTCCCCGAACAAAAAAAGTTCCAATTCACACCACCTGAATCGACAAAAAATGTTCAAATTTCATTTTTTATGAGTAAATGCCCAGTCACCAGCCACATCACATGGTAAACCGATGACGTGGAAATGAAATATTCAAACCAGTCCATGAATTTGTAAGAGCTGTTCAAATCACTCCTTAAACTATTAAAATGTGTCAAAATTGTAATAAATTCAAAATAAAATTAGAAAAAATTAAAAATAAGGTATTTTAAATAAAAAATAAAAAAATATGAATTAAAGATATAAGTGTAATTTTAAACTTTATATTCATACTTATATCTCTGTGTTTAAATTAATAAATATTTTATTTAAGATTTCATTTTTATTTCAATGTTTATTTTATGTTTTTAAATTTTATCATTTCAGAGGTGTTGAATTACTATATGTGAAATAAAGATAGAAATTTATAATACTTAAAAAATAAGTTTTACAATATAAAATGTAAGAGTTCAAATCGAAAATATTTTGTATGACTTAAAGTATAAATATAAATTTTATATCTAATAAAATAATAGGAATATAATCTAGAGTATTTTAAAATATAAAATAAAAATGCAAGCAAAATGTTAAAACACTAAATAAAAATACCTTAATAGTAAGAAAAAATAGAAAATGATCTCAAATAAGTCTTATTTGGAATGAAAACATAGTTAGTTCTATTTTAAAATTTTCTCTATTTTCATCATACTTTGAGTAGTTTTTTAATTAAATCTAAATTAAACCTAAACATTGAACCATTTTTACTTAACACCACTTTCTCTAATTTTTTCATCTTTATTCCTTTATCCTATCCGTTTTTTTTTCCTTATTTACATTTATTTATTACAACTAACGAAATCTGAGTCATTTTTTTTTCCCATTTTTGCCTAGGGCCGCCACCCCATGCTCCCCTTGGTCGCCCGTGTATTTACTACTAGCTCTCCAGGGCCGTCTAGAGCATTTTGGAGGCCCAAGACAGTCAAATAGACATTTTATTTAGATATGTAAATTTATTCAGCTCAACAATATAGAAATATAATATCAAGTAAATTACATACAAAATGCCGCATGATGGCTCCTATTAATATTAAGAGAGTACTTCAAAATCAAATTATCCAAAAATGATAAAAAAAAATTCATGGATACTTATAGCTCATGATCTCTTCTTTAAGACAATTTTCAGTGTCAGACCAGATCAGACCAGATTTAAATAGACTAGATCAGATCAGGTTCTCATAGTTTTTTTATCATCATCAGACTCTCATAGTTAAAAAATATACAGAGATAGGAAATTTACCAAATCAGTTCAGACCAGCAAATTTCGGTTCAAAAGAAAAGATATTTACTTTTCTAGCTTTTTGAAGACAAAATTATTAAAAACATTGTCAATTGGAAATAACAAAACGTGTAATTTCATACGAAGTGCAACATAATGCTACATACAAAGTAATACTACATAATAAATAAGTAAAGGGAAAATGGAAACTAATAATTCAACCTTTTAGCGGTATTCTTTCAATAATCCCACCTTTTGATTATTCGTGAATAATCCAACCTTTGCACCTCATCTTCATTCATTGGTCCCTGGTCGGTTAATGACCTACTATTCCAAGTTATTTTCTTATCTTTCCAAAATATTATCTTTGTGAAAGATGAGATTTATGGTATAATGATTTGCAAAGATAAGAAAATAGCTTGGAATAGCAGGTCATCAACCGGTCAGGGACCAGTGAATGAAGATGAGGTGCAAAGGTTGGATTATTCATGAATAATCAAAAGGTGAGATTATTGAAAGAAGACCGCTAAAAGGTTGGATTATTAGTTTCCATTTTCCCATAAGTAAATGATTCACTCAAAAAATAATTAATTTACCTGATCATATATATAATCACACATCACAATTATTTCAACTATATAATGTTTTTATAAGTTTTAAAACATTCACAAATATAATTATTATAATCAATTATTTGTTTTGCACCACGAAATAAATAATTTAGTTATTTGAGTAAATGTTGAGTTTAAATCAATACTGTATGGAGTATATAATAACACAATTATACTTGCACAGTTAGTCGGTTGGTGCATATACATACAAATACATTTGAGATTTTATTATTTTAATTCAATCACAAATATATAACAATACGCAGTATACTAAACATTCTATTCCTAGTGGCCTTGTCATTGACCGACTAAAGGAGTGTTTGGGTTGCTTTAAAAAAGTGCTTTTCAGCTTTTGGTTTAAAAAAAGTTGAAAAGAGTGTTTTCAAATGACAGCTTCTGCTTAAATTAATCACTTAAAAGCTAAAAGCTGGAAGCAGGTAGAAGGGTGCTTTAAACTGCTTCTCACTTTTTCTATTACACAAAAAAGTATTTATTTTATCAAACACTACCAACTTTTACTTTTCCAGAATCACTTTTTTCTCAAACACTACCAATTTTTACTATTAATCACTTTTCCCAAAATCACTTTAAAAATCACTTTTTTAAAGTTGAAGCAATTGCAAACACTCCCTAAAAACAAGTGCCTCAATGATCAAACTAGAAGGAAATATCGCAAGGATTCACAGCTCATAAATAATAGACTTGTTTATAAATATGGAGGCCCCTAACATTTGGGGCCCTGGACAAATGTCTAGTAAACTGCCCCACAGCCGGCTCTGTTCAGGTTGAAATTGAGTGATCCGCATTCGGCAATAACGTGAGTTGAATATTCCTCTTTGCTCTACCGATCTGTTCTTTCTTATATGTATTAAATTTAATTCAATTTGGTTATTGAATACTGTGTTTAGGGTTTTATTATAACTTGCAAGTACTGTCAAGTGGCATGCATCTCAATATTTTGTTTATCTTTAATTCTTATACTGCAAATTAAATTCATATGTTTAGCAATACGATTTGAATCTGTTCCTGTGTTTACGCTCCAAGCATGATGTTCATAGCGAATTTAACATTCCTGGATGTCCAAATTCATCATTCCCAAGAGAGACCAAAATTGAACTAAGCTTATATGCTAAATTCATAGTACGTATTAGACGCAAAGCTTTTAAATAAACCAAACAAACACACAATCCAACTTTTTATAACATATTTGGACACTAACCAGCTCTGTCACGAACTTGGGTTTAAGGGTGCTCAACTCTCACATTTTACCGGTCTTTCAAGAATAGTCCTACATAACAGTAATCTCATGATAATCTCACTTTTGCACCCATTTTATGGTTTGTGACCGGTTGATGATTTGCTATTATATGTTTTTTTCTTTTTCCTTGCAAATCATTAAAGCACAAATCCCATCTTTTCTCAAAACGGTCCACATATGATTTTCATTTTTCTTCCTAAAAGTTTTTTCTCTTTTTTCTTTATCCTCACAATGTTTTTATTCCTTTTTCTTCTTTTTTATTTTCATTTATTTACTTTTTTTTTGTTTATGTATTCCTCTACCCCGACACAAATGTCTGTGTACACAGACAAAAATTGTATATGTACAGACACTTTTTTGCCTATACATATAACTAATGTCGGTGCACACCAACATTGGTTTTTGTGCAATTACCCCGACAGATCTAAAAAAGGGTACATCAATCAGTAAACCAATTTCTGTTCACACAGACAATTTTGTCAAAAGTGTCTGTGTTTGTACTTATTGGGAAAAGGTACAAATAGGCCCATGTACTAACCAAAAAAGGTCAAATAAGCCCTTATTTAGGAGGTTCTGTCCGGCCGTTGTCATTTGGGGTGGTTCCCGGTTGAATTTTTTTGATCATCTTATTCATCAAGTCTAGTTTACTCATACCAAATTTCAGCTAAAACTTCAATCGGGAAGGCATTCAAATGAATTCTTGAAGATAATTGCGCTTCTAACTGTGTAGTTATTTTCAAGAATTCATTTGAATGCCTTCCCGATTGAAGTTTTAGCTGAAATTTGGTATGAGTAAACTAGACTTGATGAATAAGATGATCAAAAAATTTCATCAAAAAATTCCACCGGGAACCACCCCAAATGACGACGGCCGGACAGAGCCTCCTAAATAATGACTTATTTGACCTTTTTTTGTTAGTACATGGGCCTATTTGCACCTTTTCCCGTACTTATTTAATCTACATGAATGGAAAATAAAGGTGTAACCCAAGGTGCACGATTGAATTGTCAATTGTGAACTCGAAATAGGTTGGTGAGAGAATATGATTATTCCGGTTCTGTCGTTCAGAATCTGAGAATCTCCTTTGCCCTTAACTAAGATATATTAGGCGGATTTCAATTGTGAAAATTTCAGTTGGGCATAAATATTTTTATTGCACATTCATTGAGAGGTTTCAGAAAATGTTTTAACATCTTTTTTCTATTTCGGATTTCAGCTTTGTGTGTTAGAGTTATCTGCTATATATGGAGGTGAAAGACAGAATTAGTGGACTTCCTATGGACATACTTGCCCATATTTTGGGATTACTGCGGATTGAAGAAGCCGCTAAACCTGCCATTTTGTGTACCAGTTTGAGAGATGCTTGGTTGAGTCTTCCACACCTCAACTTTGATAGCCAGTTCTTCAAATACATTCAGAACCATTATATGGCAGAATCAACAATGTTTATAATCGACACAATCATCATCAAGCACAAAGGACCTATACAAAAATTTGGGTTTGATTTTAACTTCAGAAGACATAAGATGAAATCTAGGTGGTTAGACTTTGATGAATGGTTACTTTTTCTCACCCAAAATGGTGTCGAGGAAATGCACCTGTGTTTTGGCGAATATACTGCATACATATTGCCAGATTGGATATTTTCTTGCCTAACGCTAAAGACGTTGCATCTTTCAGGAGTCTCTTTTGAACAAATTAGCTTCCCTTGCATATTCCCTAATGTGACTTCACTCTTCTTAAAAAATGTCTGGTTTGATGATAGTAAATGTTGTGCTGCTGAACTTCCTATGCTCAGAAATCTAACCTGTGACACAGTTTCTGGTTTTATCTTTACTGCCCCAAAGCTTAGATATTTGAAATTTAGCGGTCATCAATATTCTATCATTGCGGGAAGTTACCGTTCTCTCATTCTTCCAGTAAAGTTAGACTTCAGAACTATACACTCTCTTCATCTTGAAAGTATTGACCTTGAGGTATATAATACATGCTTTTATTGGATTGTTACTTGTAGATTACTATTTGTTTATGTTCTGAAAATGACGTTTCAACTTTCACTTTATTTTTATTTCAAGTGGTTTGTTGAAGAATTATCTAGGGTGGGACGAGAACAAACTATGCTAAATGTGGAACACTTGCAGCTACCCTTGTCTTATGAACCGCGTTTCGATGATGACATATCAGCTTGCTTTCACTTGTTGCAGATGTGCCCAAAGTTAACCAACCTTGACATACATTTAACGGTAATATTCTTCTCTTTTGTGGATAACTATTTCTCAATGTTTTTATTTTTCATTTTTTCAATGCACTCTTGATCTTTGAATGTTAAATTGAAGGTTTTTATTTTTTTTTTATTTTGGTGCATTTTTCCTTAGTTTGAGTCAGAACCATTCGAGGATTTGGAGCTCCCTAAGCATACTTTGGCTCAAACATTCAAATCAATCCGGGCTTTAAGTATTGTTTGTTGGTTTGAAGGGTCAAGACCTGAAATGCTATTCCTCAAATGGCTACTTAGTCACTTTCCGGCACTTGAAAAGGTTGTGTTTTTTCCACGTAATTTGTATGGGGACCACAATCTGTCTGAAAATATGGAGTCACTTTTCTGTTTTCTGCGTGCCGCTGATATAGAAATAGAAATGTCTTGCTCTCGTGTTATGTTAAGTAATGTGTAAGTTCAATATACTAACATACAAAGTGTAGTTGTTTTAAAGTTCATCCCTCTCTATAGTTATCTTCCCACACTCAATTCTTTATCACTTCAAGGCAAAGTAGTTTTATCTTAAATGATCAGTCCTAAGAGGATGATGTGATAATTCAAAGGAAGACTTTTTGATCATTTTTCACTGCACATTTGTAGTTCTTGGAATAAGTTGACAATTAGAAAGTTGTATAGTTTGCGTCTTTGTCAATAATATGTAGATACATTTCTGAACCATACGTTCATCAAGGCATTTTGGATTTTAAAATTTTAAAAAATTCAATTTTAGAAGTTGGCTCGCATTGTTGTAGTGTTGTGTTATAGTAGCCATTTGGAATAGACATTCCGAAAAGTAGAAAACAAAAATTTCTTAAAGTGGTGTGCAAAATCATCACATATTTCCAACTTTAATTTAAAAAGTGATAGCATTTGAACTGAACCAAAAGAGGTTGTTTTGAGGCAGTATTCCCCAATAAGTGTATGGTTCAGATTTATGAAATTATTAGAAAGGAATCAACAGTTTGCTGGAACCAAGTTTTTTCCACATAAGTTTTTACCCGTTAAATTTTACACACAAATTCGAAGTTCTTGCTCCGACCCCGATTGGAAGTAATAGTAAACGAAATTATATGAGAAAATTTATAGCTCTAGCTACCTTTCCTTCTACTGAAACCTCAACAGAGAAGGATGAGTTTTTTTAAAGCAACATCTCAACTGGAGCATGAAGAAACGTTTGTAAAAGATTGATGCAATTTTAAGAACTAGATAGAGGCATAGGGCCAAGGTGTAGCTTATGTACTATGGAGTATAATCATATTCTAGGGTGCGATTGGCCCTTACCCCTCTGGTAAAAGTATTTTTTGACACACATTTATATCCGTATATACTTCTCTCGTTCCCTTTTAATTGCAACAATAACATTTCACGTTTGTCAACACACAATTTTGACCATTAATATCTTTCATTCCTTATTAGTAAAAATTTAAAAAATCATATTTGAAAATTTAGAATGAGAAGAATTTAACAATATTTTTAAAAAATTTAATTTATGTGAATAGTGCAAAAAGTTCAATGTTGCAATTAAAAGAGAACGTAGGTAGTATATAGTTTCAGAACATCATACAAATTGAGACTCGGAAGATGAACAGTTGTATGTATTAGATTATAATAAATGGTTTGCAATTTGGAAAAAACAAATATTCGGGTGAAATGTGACGGTCTTTGATGATGATGAATAAATGGACGCTAATTTTATTCACAAAGAAAACATAATGTCCTTCACACCAATAAAGTAGGAAAAAATGATAACAATACACACACCTTTCACAAATTTTTTAGAATAATCTCACAATTATATAATCTCACAATAATCTCATATTTGCATATCATCTTCTTGGACTGGCCTGATTCAATTTGAGCCACTGATTACGTCAACGATTAAAAGATGTAGTGACATACTACATACTACGGAGTATGTATTAATCAAAGTCTTTTTTTGATATATAGGTTGAAGTTGTGCACGGCTGCACGCCCATGTAAACGCCACGTTTTATCTGTGTGCAGACAGTATTTTCTTTAATTTTTTGTAAGTGAATTGTCTATGACACGGACAAAACTTGGGGAAAATCTTGTTCATGCAACATCTTTTAATAGTAATAAGAAACAAGAAACCAATAAAATTGTGCACCAATTATTACAATCTGAAGACTGGCCTGGCCTGGGTGTTGGGAGTGCCCGCATATATGCAGCTGATAAAGATCGAGCCTTGACTATCCAGCTTTGCTATATATGATTGACAAATTTACGTTTCCAGGCTAGCAGGTTCTTCATGTTGACAGGTGTTCCTGTGGCATTTTTCAATGCCTGAAAGAGAGACTGCTGAGGGGTTGCCTTAAGTTCTTGAACAACAGCAGAAATGGACTTCCCATTTGCGAAGAAGATGTTGCTATTTGGGTGTTTTGTTTCGCAGCCAGCATGACGCTCGAAATCAAATGCAGTCACTCCCTACATATATGTACCAATATTACATATTCCTGGAATCATGGGTGTGTGGTGGCCTTGGGCTTGAAGCTGAGGAAGTTTTTTTCCCTACTTAAATTTTCGGGTAAGATATATATATTCCCCAAGTCCCACTGAACATTGTCAAATTTGAGTTGAGTACGTGTGAAATAAGAACACTAAAAATGGTGCGGTTAATGTGTGCCTAGAACGAGGGAAATAAGAGGTACAAGTTAGTTAGTTTAAAGGGAAAGTAGTAGAACTTTGGAAACAAACACACACATGATGGAGGCAGGACACTGGTTCGGTACAAAAATATTTTTTTGGAAAAAAAAATTAAAGAGAATTTTTTGACTAAAAATATAGGCATTTTAAAATTTGAGTCGGGTCGGGGCCTATGTTGCCCCTAGCTACGCTCCTGAACACACACAAAATATTTGGCAAAGATCAATGGGCCCGAGGGAACAATATTATTTATACTTCGCATTTTTACTACGGAGTACTCCCTCCGTCCCGAATTATAAGATACTTTTCGGTTTACGATGTTTGACCGATGATAAAGCAAACAGACCCCTGTCTGCACTCAAATTAATTTTAGAAAAAAAGAATTACATATTCAGAAACAACATTAAAACTGCTACAAAACCTGCAAAAAATAATTCAAATTTCATAAAATTTTGATATATAAAGTAAGAGATTAAGAATGATTTGTATTGACCAAGTGAATAGTAAAAACATCTTATAAAATGGGACAGAGGGAGTATTATTTAAGTCTTCATTCTGCTTAAATTTAGTCCATGTTTGATTGATCGAATCTGATCAAATCTGGTCTGATACTCTGATTTATTTAGAGGATAATAAAAAATGGCTGAAATTATTATCAAAAGTCAAATCATAATAGGAAGTAAGTGAACTTGATAATTGTTGTTTTCAATATATAATTTTACGGGGTAAAAGATATGGCCGGGTATAAATTTGACTAGGGCACGTCAAATATATATACCGTCTTCATTTTGCAGAGATCACATCCGCAAAGATAACGCGTGCCTTTAATGATCCCTTTTAGAGTCTTCTGCATAATTATATAAAACTTATATAATTAAATAAAACTTTCTAATAGAACTTTCAAATATTATTAATTAGAACTAAAAAGGAGAAGCTCACTCACCTCCCTAGACCATGAAACATACTTCACTGGCACACCTTCAAATATACCTGTGGCTAGCAAAGCTTTGACATTTGAAGGAAAGCAATATGATGAAGTCTTAAGAGCACCCAACTTTTTTGTTTTAGAAACACTGTTGACTTTTTCTGAGGATACATTCGTAACACCGTTGACTTTTTCTAGGGATACATTCGTCATGACTTTAGAACAAATTGAGTTCTCTTGGATACTTTTCTTGGTCATCAACGAGCCTTCATTATATGATGGACCTTCCCCACAACTTGTGTTTGCAATGTAGGAGCTTTCATTGCGGTAAGTAATAATGGCATTAGATGATGATTGAATGTCACTCTCCCTTGTTTTCTCATAATCAGGCATACTGGTAGAATTGAACATATCATCCATTTGTGTAGGATTGGTACTTTCAAAGTTTGTCAAGTTGAATTCGTTATTTGCCTTGCCAAAGTACCCAAACTGACCAATCATTTTTTATTGTTGAACTCCCACTTCACATTTGCAGCTCCTGGATGGAAAGAGTAGCTAGAATGTTAGGAATCCTAATTAGTTGTCCTTATTCTTAGTTGTCACGAATATTATAGCTAGCTCCTCATGAATGGATGGATACTCTAAATGAATTCTTGATAGTCCTTATCTATGTGTATGAAAAGAGTAGAAGGAAAAGAAGGGCTTGTAGAGTTGTAGTTGCACCCTAAGCCATTAACCATTGAATCCATTATTCTTAATAATTCAACTGCATCATTCTAATTGGTCCATGTAGACAAAAGTATGGTACCTTAAGGGTATCATAGAATCTACCTTCTTAGTTCTTAATATACCTCCAACATCACAGTTATGTATCGATCATCAATCATCAACCACCCATTATATTGTTGTACACATTAAAAATATTAAACTTAATTCTCCAAAGATACACAAAATAAATAAATTAATTATTGTCTAAATAGTCATGCAATTTTTTAATACTAGGTAAGAAATACTATTGAAATAGTCGGGACGGAGGTAGTATAATACAGAGCAATAATACTCCATACATAATAAACAACTCGCAAAAATGATGGTACCAGAGCAGATAATCAAGAGACAAACACTCACCGGAATGAGATTGCCGGAGAGGAATTCCGGAAACTTCAAAGGTCGTATATATGCTTGTTTGTACTCTGTGCTAGGAGAAGAGGATGAAGGGATATTTATTACAGTATGTAAGGGCATGTGGTTGTTCCTTTACTTTCTATGAATGAATCATACCTTACATGCTCTAATTTTGAAAATCTAGTCAATCCTGGCTTTTGATTTTGTAACGTTCCATGCATGAAAAATGTGCTCGGTTGTTTACCTTGACCAATATGAGTTGTACATATGAATTCTAAGATTTCCAGAATTATTATACGCTAACTGATGATGCGTGATTGAGAAATGAGATAAAAAGAGGCCAACGTATAAATTAATTATTTCGATTAAGACAATTTTTTTATCCTCTCACATCTATAGAAGATTTTTATTTTTTATAAAAAAATTACATGAAAACAAAATTTGGAAAATATTTTAAAAATAATTAAATATTTATGACTAAAATAAATGTAGTTTACAAAAATGTGATTAGTGACTAGAGTAATAAAATAGTCATAGTAACTTATGTTCAATTTTTATACTTAAGTGACTATAAGATTATATAATAATAATTATTACTCACATTGTTGTAAATAAATTTCACCATAGTAAGTGAAATAAATTTTTGAAAATAACTGTGTTTTATATGTATATTTTGGTGTTGCTGTCTTCAAAAATTTATTTGACTGCTTTCCCAATTGTATTTTAACTTAAATTTGGTGGAAATAATCTACACTTTATGAGAAACATGCTCGCAATATTTCAGCAAAAATA